ATTGAACTGGTGCTCGTTGGTGACTAGCTTCGAGAAGTATTCCCGAAGTTTCAATGACAAGTCGTGACCGGTGGAGTCAAAGCCTGATGGCCATGAGGACAAATACTCAACAATGACATTGGGTGGCGGTTTGCGCTATATCGTGAGCTAACAGAAGTTGGAAATATGGAGCACTGGATTCTGACCCAGTGGCTCAATGGTAACGCGCTGGTCGCGGAACCTGAAGGTCGCGGGTTCGATCCCTGCTGGTGGGGTCGTGGGCGCGCACTGCTGAGGAGTCCCATACTAGGACGAAACAGCTGTCCAGTGCTCCCAGGTTTCCTTTGTTCCTCCAACTCATGTCAGTCTACAATGAATAACAACTTGAAATATTTCCAAATCTCCACAACCCCCTCAAAAAAATTTAAATATAAGTGGCAAATAACCTAAGAAATCAAATGGTACCAGGTTATTTTGTGGCAATCCCTGTTATTTCTCTATTCATCAAATATGAATTTCCTCAAGATTTCAGACATATCATATTGATGACTGCGAACAAGAAAGCGACCATGATTTAAAAAACTACCCTTCCGAAGAAACTGTTTATTTCTAATGTTATCCATAGTCATGGATAAGAGGAAAATATAGTTTAACACTGACCTATAGCTGTCAAATCAGCTCCAGCCCTTAGTCACCATTAGTACTTAACAACTTTAGGTGAAAGTTTTTAAAGTCCACTGAAAATGAGTGCTATCAGTATCGACTATCTATCTGAACAAACTTTTCAAACAGCAGCTGCATTCTACTTACTTTTAAAATTGTTTCAAATACTTCAGGATTGATTTATTGATCGAAATGAGCTACCCTAGTAGTCTTACAAAAAGACACATAGACAAAGAAAGGGAAAACAAACCTGAAATCATTGCCGTATAAAAGAAACTATTGTTCATGAAATTACAATTTAATGGGGATGTAGCCGGAGAAGTTTTATATCAAAGACTCTCTAGAGACATAGAGGACTGTCTACGCCGCACAACTCTGTCTATCATTTTCCAGTCGACCAACTGTTGTTGTTCAGGCAAAAGATAAAGTATCTAGTTTTGCCATTTCTATATGTATTTACAAGTTTAGGTGCTTCTGTGGAGAGAGCTATGTAAGGCGTACTACTAGACAACTTAACAAACGCGTTCCTGAGCATCTACCTTCGTGGATGGGGAAGGGACAGATAAAATCCATCAGAAGTTCGGTTTTATCTAACCTCGTTGATACTGGTCACTTGGTATATACGAAAAATACTTTCACGATTATTCACCGTATACCATCTTATCTTCCGAAAGGTATACAAACTCGTCTTTTACACATAGCAGAAGTTATGGGAATTCGAGCTAATAATTCTCGTCTTTATATCCAGAAAAGTTTGTACATCCCTTTTCCTCTCCCTCGGCCAGGAAATACTTAGTTAATAACTTTCTCATTAAGTTTTTTCCTATCCCTTTCTTATTCTTCACCCTTTTATATACTTACCGTATTTGTTTAGACTTCGTTTATCCACTTACCTCGTCCTCCAGTATTACGTAACTTTTATTTTCCCAAGCTTTTGACCCACTTTGATCATCAGAGTGCATACATTTTCATGCTGCTTTCTTGGTTTTTATCATCATTATCATCTATATTGCAAGTGCTTTAGTCATCGCTCTCACTTCTGTTATTATTTGCATTATTATGACCATCGTTATTTTAAAACATTTATCATATTGACCGACAAATCTACATGCTTGATTTAATTTTATATATATTAGGGTATTTTGTAATAGAGTAAAGCTTGAATAGGATCTAATTGAAAACATTATTGTTCGTTTATATGTATTGTTCTAATTTACACTATGGGAATTTTTTAAAACTCTCAAATACTCCAACTTTCGACGAACTAAGAGAATGGCTTCTTGACATAACTTAGTAGTGAATCATCATCTATGATCAGGAGTTACGACGTATACATACATTATGGGTATAGGGTAAAAGTTTTTCTCTCGTTTGATAAGAAACATAAATGGTATTTACTAAATCAGCTCCCAAACAAGTGGGATGCATGCACAGAAGTTACATAGGCACTATAGATGTCTTTTAATAATTTCCATGCATGATTGACATTCACAGTGGAAATGTAACAAACTTCTTTATAGTTAGTTAGTTAGTAAGTTGGGCAGGCAGGCAGGCAGGCAGGCAGGCAGGCAGGCAGGCAGGCAGGCAGGCAGGCAGGCAGGCAGGCAGGCAGGCAGGCAGGCAGGCAGGCAGGCAGGCAGGCAGGCAGGCAGGCAGGCAGGCAAACAGACAGACCAATGTACAACTCAGCACAAAAGTCCTATGTTTCAAGTAGTCACACTTTCGCAACAGCATATATGTAGAACGAAATTAGCATCAACAATAAAAGCATTAGGGTAGATAAATTGAATAAATTATGTGTAACTTCTTCAAGGTACCAAGGATGAGCGCATTTAAATTTATACCATAGTGTTTGGTTTATACACTGCATCAAGTATAATCCAGCTCTCAAGAATACAATTTCTATAATCTTTTGCATTTTTCAGGTACTTCTGTTACCCAAGTATACCTTGATTTCGATGAGAATGTTTTATGGAAGAATAAAGTTATGAAACACTCCCAGTCTTGCTTATTTCCTTCATTCCTAACACATGGATAACAACTAAAAACCATTGGTATGTTGATAATAGTAGTATTTATGCCATTTATCTGGAAGAAAAACGCTGGTAAAACGGCGCCACCGGTAAGATGTGGTCATGATACGCATGTTACAGCTACATACGAATATTGCTTGTAACTCAGTAAAAAGATATTTTACGGGTCAAATTTTTCCTCATTTCTACTCTCATAATTCTGACTTCAGTGACCCATTATTTCTAAAAACAGTCTTTATACGATCTCCGAAAGCGCTGTCCTAAATATTTTAGCCCTGTGTTTTTATACTTCTGTGGAAATAATCCACTACAAGCTATTTCTTTAGCTATGGCGAAATGAATGTTCAGGTAGTATCAAGGCCCCCAAATAAGAGCCCATATGTCAACAGAGATCGAGCAGTTTGATAAAGTGTTAAAGAAGGAGAATTACAAGTATTAATAAATAACAACTGTTATTTGTATAACTGCTTGTATTATACCGTCGTTGATTGGACCGAACTGATCGGTCTCCATTGGCATATGGGCTTCTGTGAGGATGCCTCGATATTACCTGTGTTTTAGTTGTAGTAAAGAAGGATAACCGTCACACAGGAAGTAGCTATCGTGGCTCGGTGGTGTAGTGGATAACGCTATGGCGCTCCCGAGTCCGAATCCCGGTAGAAACAACATCACTCACTGGGATGCAGGTGTATCCAGCTGACGAGTCCCAAATAGGACGAAATGCATATCCCGGATTCCACCGCTGGCCACTAAATAAAGTGCTATATGATTCACGATAGGGTTTAGAATTAAAATACTTTCGCTTGGTAAATCCATTACTATTAAATTACATTTTCCAACTTTACATCCAACATTCCACACTGACTCGGTAGGAATATCTCAATAAGTACAACGCTGCATATTTTGTATTTTTCTGATTTATTAGGATTCCTTCTCGTTGTCTTTCACACTTCATATTTCTTTTGTAGTACAACAAAGCATCCAGCCGACTGCTCCCGCTGATGACTGTTTTGTACCGATTAAAGCTGAATTGAAATCTTTACCAAGTTGGAGTTTAATTGATGACAGCAGCGGAACCCTGAACGTGCATTTCGTTCTATTTTGGGCTTGTCAGCTGGATATACCTTCACCCCAGTGAGTGATGGTATCTCCATTGGGATTTGAACCCAATATCCATCGCTCTGAATGCTAAAGTGTTATCCAATAGGCTCCTGAGACAAGAGATTAATCTCTTGTGTAACGGGTATCAGCTGTATTTTATTGATTCTTGCAATTTCACATTGCTATACTAAGTCGAATTGCTTGACTTCTGTTGGCATCCGCATGACAGTCAGCCTTCCAACATAAGTCGAGCAATTTAAACCAGGATACCAGGGGGAAAATATAAGTATCAACAAATAACAGGAATAGGAGTCTGATCATTTTTCATGTCAAACTGTTCAAATATTAGTCTATGCCGAATGTCATTAAAAAGATATCAGTTTGAGTTTGAATTAGACCCAAGTATCTTATAATTGCCATATGTGTCTACACTATAACAACGGAATCTACCTCATACATACTTATTATAAATGTTGGTTTAATGAATATGTTTAAATGAAGTAATTAAACCGACTTCTAAGTGAGCTGTAGTACCTGGTACACTAATGTGCAAAATATCGATTAAAATTTACTTATTGAAAGCTTATAGGCACTTTTAGCAATAGTACAACTGATATTATCTCTTTCCAGTGTAATGTAATAGGGGAAATCATAATGGTTATTCAATCTAGAACATATACACACACGCCACAATACAATAGGCGAAAAAGGTAGACAGTGTAACGCCTACTCAAAATCTTAACGATATAACCAAATGACTAAACAAGCAACTGATACAGAGGTAGGAAAAAAACGACTTCATTCTATTAAGTATCTCTGATAAGTATGCTAAATAATTTTTATATTCATTCTTCTGCCTTTCAATGATTTAACTGGTTGAGTATAGAAAACTTTATCCATTGGTTCGCATAAAACAACCAATCTCTCATTAAAACAGGGGAATTCTTTGAGACGGATAATATCCCATCTAATAAGTAGTATAATAGCCTTTTTTTAAATTCAGAAGTGATCATTATCATAACAGAGATATATAATAGAGTAAATAGAACTTTCATACTAAATAAAGCTGATATTCTAAATATTTTCTTTTTCAAACAACTGTCAACTGAAAAGGTTTATTTCTTAGGGAAATTCCAAGCTGATTGACTTTTACTTGGAGAGAAGTAATAAACAGTGTGATTAACATTCAAATGCATTTGTTTGTTTGAATAAAATACATTCAATATGGAAAATAATACTAGTTTTAATGCAGCTGGGCAATTATCAATCAAGGAACAAGTTCAAGGGAAAATAACCAGGTGAGTTTCTCATTTACACATGCATTTGTACATCTCATAATAATCGGTCCTATGTTATGTAACCAATAAACCGTAATGAATTCTATCAACTAGGTTTGTGATATAGCCATTTATAGTCGGTGATGATTGAAAATGAAATGAAAATTTGGACGGCGGCCGGATTCGAACCAGCGACCGCCAGGTTTCCGGCTGGGTATCCTACCAACTAAACTGTAAGCCCGGTGGTCGCTGGTTCGAATCCGGCCGTGGTTCAAATTTTCATTTCACCTTCAATCATCATCCAGTATCAATACTAATCTGACGAACCAAGGGTATCTCAGATAGTCAAAATAAAATAGCCATTTACCAAACTGACTCGATGTCATGATGCAGTATAGTAGGTCCTAGAGAGTTGAAGATAATTGATCAAATACATGGGACATTTGTCAGTGAAGAGCATTTCCTAAGCAACTTAGACTGAAGTCAGCGATCATAGCAATCAGAGATGTTACCAGTTGCCTATTTACCTCCAACTTTTCAGTCATTAGAACTTGCATTGGTGACTTGCTGTCAGCACTACTGGGTCAACTTGTTGTATTGCAGTAAGAGTATACCTTGTATTTTTAGCTTATTTGTGTGAATATACTTTCATATATAAACGTTTTGAGTAAAAGTTAGGAGCTTAGATAGTTCAAATAAAACCAAAGTAGGAGTGATACATAGTTTCGTTTAGTTCAGCAGAGAATTTTTCGTGATAACTTTTATCTTCTATGATGAATAGCCAAGTTGGAAATTTTCTCAAAAATATTTTCCAGATCATCTATTTTCTCTTATTACTGAATAGACTTATCTTACTGACAGGAAGTCATATCTAGTCAAATCTCATTAGTAATATTCTGCTCCTTGATATAGTTGTTATTTACATCCTATTGTCATTATCTTATTTGGTGAAACCTATTGAAATAGAAAACTAAGTTTAAAATATTAAAACGTGTGGTTTTTTCATCATGGAATGACATCAGTTAGAGAAATGCCGAAAACCTGGAAGAACTGAACAGCTATTTTGTCCTTTTACGAGACTTCTCAGCAGTGCTGATCTACGAACCCACCGGAGATTGAACAGAGAACCTTCCGGTTTCATGGTGAGCAGGTCACCATTGAGCCACTGAGTCAGCATCTAATGACCTACAGCTTCTAGGTTCTGTCAACTCGCAGTATGGTGCAGCTTCCATATAATGTCATCGCCGAGTATTTTTCCCTACGTCCGAATTAATATACTCTACTGGCCAAGATTTCTCAATAGAACTTCGCGAAATAGTCAGGAAGTGAATTGTATGTAAAATAGTAATTTGAAGATAAGCCTCATAACCGTGATTTAGACTAGTTGACTAACCAGCCACTAATCTTAAGTTGTTTTAATTCCTTTACTTGGTGTACACAAAATAATTAAAGATTTTGGCTATTTTGTGCTAAATATTATATACACATGATTGTATCGACAGATACTTTACTCTTTAGGTTATAATACTTGTAGTGGCCACTTTAAATAAGCTCTTAGCATGAGTAAAGTGGTTGCACTGACTGACCTTCACTCTAATGCATCGTATATGACACTAAACAACCAAGCGACTGGAACAGACTATAACAAACCAGTGTTGTTAAAATTGATACAAAAAAACTGGATGTGCACAGAATGCCCAAAGTTAAGATGAAATTCAGCCTACTGCAGGATTTCAATCAAACTTCTCTGAATAAATGGCCTTTCTATCCATGGACTCAGCTGTCAGACTCAACTATTCATCACGTCTTCATTTTGTTTGGGTCGTCAACAATTTATGTGAACGGATTACCTGTGGCTACTCATTAGTGTCACACTAATTTCGAAGTCATATCTTTTCATTTTAGTTCATTGCGAATTAAATTAGAAAAGAAATGGGTTGTTAGTTAATTACTAGCTAGATCATATCAGGTAGCTTTGGTTGGTAAACTGGTTTTAATTCAGAGGATTGATTAGTGAAGTAAAAATAATTCCTTGATTATACCAGCATTGACTGATTGAAAGAGACTTGGAATTTGTGCACAATGTTGAAACTTACATAACAGTTTATACAAGTAAACCGCATATTAAGAAACATTTAGTCCCCTTATGTTGTTGCTCGTATTATCCCACACTTCACTGGACCGAATTGGTTGGTCTCTATTGGAATATGGGCTTCTGTGAGCGCGCCTTGATATTGCCTATCGTTTCAATTTGTTATAGTAATATTGGTTAGTAGCCGGCAGTTGAATTCAGGACTAATGTTTTGTTCTATATGGAATGCGTTAGCTGGACGTATATGCCTCCTAGTGAGCAAAGTTACTCCCAATAAGACTCAACTCAGGATGTTGCAATAAAACCAGCAACAGCAAACAAAATTATGCCCGCGGCATACAAGGTGGATATCATCACTTGGTAGGCTAGTACTTGAAGCTCTGATGCTTAAAGTGATCGGTCCGCGTTCTAGTTTTGGAAGGAAAAACCAAGCTAAATGATAGGCAGGTACTGCCAGCAAATGAGTATCAAGATGCACGAAATGCGAGTCCTAGATGCAACTGATAGCCACCATTATTAGTACTCAAAATTTTCCCTAGGGTTCCTAATGGAACATATGGATTCTGTAGCACGTCTCCACTGCACTCTGTTCTCTGCAGTCTTTTCAACCTGTCGCCACGACTGCCCACAAGCTCTCATTTCTTCCTTGCACGATCTCCTCCATGTCACCCTCGTCTCGGACGCCTAACTCATCGTTTCCCATTTGGATTCCACTCGAGGGACTGGCCTAGCACGTGATGTCCCCAATCGGCCTTCTCAATGTATGCCCAATCCTTCTAGACTTCCCCATATTGAGCGATAGCTTCTTGGTTGGTTGGTTCGTTGTCAGCCACGGTGAGTTCCTTGTTGCTTATTCTTTCTGGCCATCTGATCTTCAGTAACGAGCCAGCGTAGTCAGTTGTTGATGAATGTCTCTGGTGGTTTGTTGGAAATGCCTTTCGTAATGCGCAAAGTCTCTGAACCATCACATAGAAGCACTGAGTTGACTGACGTTGGTGTTGATAATCCGGATGTCGTTCATGTTTAATGCTGAGTGCAGTGAAGCAGATTCCCTCACTGATTTCAGGTTAATGAACGCCTGTCTCGCTATCTTTCCGATGCTGGCTGGCTTTGACGTCCTCGTCTGTGCCTGTGTCGCCTGTAGTTGAAACAGTGATGCATGCCTAGATAGGTGAAAGAGACTACTTCCTTCAAGTTTCTCCCGTTGATGGTGATTCGAGCTTGTTGTTGTTGGTGTTTGTGATGTTGATGTATGTGGTGTTGGTGTTGGTGTTGGCGGTGGTATTGGTGTTGGTGGTGGTTGGGTATCTACATCACCTCCGTCTTCTCTACGTTCACTTGAAGTCTCGTCTTCGCTGCCCTGCCTCTTCTGTCAACTTGTTGGATTTTGCCTGTAGATCTTCAAGTTTGTCCTACAAGACATTAGACATAAATCATCATCATCATCATCATCATCATCATCATCGTCATCATCCTCGGTGAAGTCCTAATCTTCTATGATCTTTTCCCCGGTCCAGCCAGCGTATCCCCCTCTTCTCGCTCCCCACACTTGTCTGCTGCATGATCCAGTCCAGTCGACCACAATCAGGAAAATCATGGGGGATAGTACGCAGCCTTGTCTTACTCCTGTCTTCACTTCAAAGGCATCACTGAGCTTTCCATTGTGAATTACTTGGCATGCGGCGTCTTCATATAGTTGTTGAATGAGGTTGATAAAGATTTGTGGCACTGAGACCGTAGTGTTGAAGCAACTAACTGCCTGCCAAATTACTTCTCGGTTGACGCTGTCGAAGGCCTTTTCAAAGTCGATGAAGTTGAGGTAAAGAGTTGCCATTCTGCCATTCTACGCTCTGTTCTATGATGATGCGTAGGGTAGCATTGCAATTCAGTCCGCACATGATTTGTACTTCCTGAATCCAGGCAGCCTGTTCCGGTTGTAGTTTTGAATCCAGCGCATCTTCTAGTCTCTCCAGGATGATGCGGCATAATATTTTGCTTGAGGTGGACAGGAGCATGATCCCTCGTCAATTCTTGCAAAGACTTAGATCTGGTCTACCTTCTTTGGGAGTTTGACAAGATAGCCCTTCTTCCGATCAAAGGGGCAGGTACCTTTCCTTCCTTCCTTCCAGACCTTCTACATTAGTGGTGTGAGCATGCCTGCTGTTGTCCCTGAGTCTGTTCTCAGTGCTTCTGGCGGGATTCCATCTGGTCCTGTTGCTTTCCTGCATTTCAGTAGCCCTATGGTGTTCAGGACTTCACTTCTGCTCTTGTCGGAGGACCTGTGTTCACTTGCAGTTCTGTGGTTGCAAGTGGTATTTCTGGTGGTCGATTCAAGAGCTTTTCGAAGTGGTCACCCCATCGTTTCCCTTGTTTCTCTTCTTTGGTAATTAGATTTCCTTCATCATCTTTTATTGGTTTCATCTGTGTTGATCTCTTCCCTACCAGATAGTAACTTGGTTATTATTTGATACAATGTTGTCAGGTCTCTCCTACCAGCAGCCTGTTGTGCTTCACTTGCCAGTGTTTCGTAAAAGTGTCTTTTGTCTTTGCGCGCCACTATTAGTTTTTTCTTTTTTAGAAATTTGAACGTTGCAATCAGGAAACTGGGTTGATCGGAATAACAAGGTGTGCATTCATATTGCCTTTCCTTACAGAAGAGTTGCTGAATAGTACTATTTTGAGACAAAGGCTCAGATATATCACTGGGAAAAAATTTTTCTCAAGCTTATCATTGCTGACATTAAAACGCCCATGCCTCATCACAAAGCCAAGCACAGCATAGCCGATTACATCACGCATAAATAGCGAGAAGTATTCGAGCCATATAGTTGAATGTGGGGAATCATCCACCGAAATGACTTCAGCAGCAGTTGGAATGCAAAAGTTTGACAAGCTTAGGTGGTAGACAATCTTCTTCATATATAGCTAA